AAATATTAACAACATATTGAAAATGCAAGAAATATTAACAAAATATTTGAAATGCAAGAAATATTAACAAAATATTTGAAATGCAAGAAATATTAACAAAATATTTGAAATGCAAGAAATATTAACAAAATATTTGAAATGCAAGAAATATTAACAAAATATTGAAAATGCAATAAATATTAACAACATATATATATTAGGACATTAAACTTAATATAACGAAAATTACAAAATACTTACCTCGTTAGTACGATTTTCCCCACTTCTATACAAGTTCATCGCTTTTGCCAAGGCATCTCTCCATTTTGCCATCTCTTTGTTGAGAAGTTTCCACCTACTCGACAATGCCATTTCCGTACGAGGCGAGTCCGGAATTTTTTTGCAAAATTCGGCATGAATTTTTTTCCACATATGGAAAAATTTCATCTCATTGCCTGTCAAGGGACAATGACAAATTCGGAGCCAAGCCTCACACAAAGAAACATCTTCCATGGTGCTCCATGCCCCTCTGGTTTCAATAGAAGAAGCCATAAAAATAAGAAATAAAATTACAAGGTGAAAGAGATGAAAATGTTGAGTGAAGAGTGAAGAAAATGTTGAGTGAAGAGTGAAAAAAATGTTGAGTAATTGTAGAAGTAGAATAAAATGTATGAGAATTGGTGTTGAAAGTGAAGGGTATTTATAGGTATTTATAGGAAAAAAAATCAGAATTTTTAAGTGTTTTGGACCTGGGGCGGAACTTGCCTTCGGACCAGCCCGGGTTGGTGGGTCCCACACCCCCTGGGCCTGGGCTGCTGGGTGGAATTGGCCTAAAACCTTATCATAAAAAATCCTAAAATTGAAGAAAAATTCGGCCAAGTAAAAAGAAAACCACTACAACACAACCACAGTGTAAATATTCTGGTCCAAACTTTCTCCCTGCCCAATGTATCTTTTTCTTTTTTCTTGACAAAATGAAAAAGTCCCAGCCCATTTTAGGTTAACCCATCGTGGGTTCCTCTTGCTGGTTTTGAAAAGAAAAGAAAAGCGATTAAAAAAATATAACATCGTCTCTCCCTCTCTCTCCCTTGGACAAATTCAGGCATTCCGGTTCACAAAGACAACACAGACAACCTCAGGTACTCTCTCTCCTTCTTCTATTTCTCTCTGCTAGGGTTTAAATTTGAGACTCAATAAATTTCACTATATATGTCTCTTCCTGGTTTTATTTCCAAAATAATTATTTTTATTATCTAATTTTCATGAACTGTTGGCTCCCCCATTCTAAACCCAGTTTATACCTCATTATTGTAATGAAAAAGCTTTTTCATTTACAAATATTTCTTGCTTCTACATTTAGTTTTACTATTTTGATTCACAATGCCTAACTTCTACTTTGTGCTATCTTGTGATGATTTCCATCACAAACCAAAGAGTTGGGCTTTAGTGATTACTTGAATTAGGTGTAGAAAGCTAATAGAGTGAGTGAATTAAGTTGCAAATTTTGAAGAACAGCAATTGGGACATTTACAATTTTAATGATGAAGGTTTTGGGGTTCTCAATTTTATGCGAATTGTTAAATTCTCTTTAAATATTACTCTAGGGTCGATGTTTTTTGTACTTGTTATCTCATGAGAATTTAGGGTTTTTCTTAAGTAGTTTGAGGTTGACAAGTCTTTTGCCTTAAAAGATTTTATGACTTGAGGTTTAGCTTCAATTGATGTTATTTTGACAAGAAAAAAGAGAGTGTCTAGATTGATGAATATTAATTTAATCAAATGGGTTTTTCTCAACTGTTGTGTTCAGGTTAAATGGACGAATCTGAGAAAAGAAAGGAACGACTAAGGGCAATGCGCACAGAAGCTGAAGAAGCTGAAGCTTCTCATAGTGTTACAACTTCAGCTGTCCCCGGTTACCTTTCCAATCCGTTGGCTGAAGATAGTGCAGCTATACCAGTGCACGAGGAACCTTGTGCTCCTTCTAGGTTTGACTTTTACACAGACCCTATGGCAGCCTTCTCTTCTGACACTAAAAGGGTTAAAGTTGGCAACCAGATTGCGCCGAGTAATTTCGGACGTTCAAATACGGGTGGTTCTCCTATGGCAAGGACGGGTGGTTCTCCTATGGCAAGGCATTCGTCACCTCTTTCAGGTAGTGTGTAATTATCCTCAGAAAAAAATTCTTTGAGCTGGATTTCCTATAATCATGCATGGTTGGCCTATTTGATTTGATTTTGATAAACTCTAGTCATGTGGGGGTGTATGGAAAACTCCTATTCTTGAATCAGTGAATAAGATATTGGTTTTAAAAGTGAAAATGAAATTGTTTCTAAACCACAAATTTTCTTCTTCAATAACTTTTGCCAGCTTATGGTATGAAGTTGGAAATTGTGGGTAACATTAAGGTTCCTTGTGTCACTATCAAATTATTTTCTTCGTTGGTGTGTGCTGGAAAAGATTTGGCTGTTTTTGTTTTAATTTCATTTCACTGCAAGTGTCATATACTTATCCAAATAGAAGTGTGGTCTTGTAATATTTGATGCATGCTCGGATTGCTTTCTTCCAACCAAAATATTGAACACTTGAAGTTCATCTTAGTTATCTGCCTTTTAGTTTTTGTCTTTTGTCTTTCCTCTTGATTTTGGTTTTCTTAATTTAATTTAGGAGGACCAAGGAACCCTGAAATGACTGCTCCTCCATCCCATCAGTTTCAGAGCAATTATTCACCAGATCAGAGAATGTATCAAGTACAACAAGGTTTCTGTCAAAACTTTGGTCCTCAAAGAAACCCCATAGGAATAGTGAGACCATTCCCTATGCATCATGGAAATCCACCCGAAGTCTGGAATGGAGCTGAAGGTGCTGCCAATTATAGTTTTCCATCTGATCCTTCAAGAGAATGCAGGTTTCCTGGCCCTGGGTTTAGACCACCAGGAAGCCTTGGATTTAGACCACCAGGAAGCCCTGTACTTGGACCACAAGGAAGCTCTGGATTTGGACCACCAGGAAGCCCTGGATTTAGACCACCAGGAAGTCCTGGATTTAGACCACCAGGAAGCCCTGGATTTGGACCACAAGGAAGCTCTGTATTTGGACCACCAGGAAGCCCTGGATTTAGACCACCTGCAAGCCCGGGATTTAGACCACTAGGAAGCCCTGGTTCCAATAGTGGGCAAGGCAGGGGGCACTGGCGTAGCAATAGTCCAAGCCCTCGTTCAGTACATGGAGGCAATACTAGTCCTAGTTCAAGTTCAGGAAGAGGTGGGGGGCACTGGAGCACAAATCCTGGATCGGGACGGAGAGGTGGAAGAGGGCTGGGCTCTCATGGTCGTTCTACAATGGAAAAACAATTGGGGCCAGAGCGGTATTACAATGATTCCATGGTTGAAGACCCATGGAAGTTTTTGAAACCTGTTATCTGGAAAGGGGTAGATACTCCCATGAAACGTTACTACAGCCCTGGCTCTTCAAAACCCCCAATTGAAAAATCTAGTAGCACAAAAGATGCTAGCATTTCAGAAGGCTCAAACAAGTCCACTTCACAGCCAAGCTTGGCAGAGTACTTGGCCGCCTCATTCAATGATGCTGTCAAGGACACACCAACTACATAACCTTTGCTCCTGAGTTCCAGGAAGAGCCTCTCACTGTATTAATGTACCGGTAAAAAAGATGGCAAACCAGAAGATAGAAGCAAGCGGTACAGAAGGTTCAAACAACTGCACTCTACAACCAAGCTTGACAGAGCACTTGGTCGCTTCATTCAATGAAGCCATCAATGGTGCACCAAGCAACAATTGCTCCTGATTTCCTGGCAGAAGTTCGAAATATTAATGCCCTTTAGAGAAAGATGGAAAACCGTAGTGGTGCTAAGTAGGCACCAACTGGATCGATGGATTTCTAAAAGCACTGAGAGTTTGATGTGTTGGCATGTGATAATTTTCAAAAACAAAGGGAGATGTCAACTGGCTGCTGGTTTCTGGAATTTGTTTAAGACGGAATCATGGTATCAGTGTTTTTCAAGTTAAGGTTGCAATTAGAGAAGTTCCATTTGCAGTTGAATTATTTTCTCAGTTTTCTTTGTTCATGTTCACCGGAGAAAGATATCCTTATGCTACAATTTTGCGTGCGAGCAATGCCATTCCTTTCAAGAATGTATTGGAAAAACCTAATCGCCCTTTTGCAACTTACTGTCCCCAAAAGTTGATTTTGAAACTGGCTTTTAGCACTAAGAAGTCTGTCTTTTGCAGCTTGAAGTCCGAGAACTGCGAAGATGTGTGCTTCATGTTTCTTTTTGTGAACCTAGTGAAATCTGCAAGTTTTAACTGCATAGATTATGCAATTCATCCTTTTTGGATTGCTTTTCAAGTAAAATATTCAATTTTTTATAATATCAATGTTATTCTAGGATTATAGCAATTGAGCTCTGCTACACGTCAATTTATTCATCATATTTTGTTCACCAAGTGATGTCTCAATCTACATTTAATCAAATATGGACGCACAAACACATCATTTGGTGAGTAAAGTTGAAGAATAATTTGGTGAGTAATATTATTGTTAGTGATATGCTTGCATGGTTTGAAATTAAAAACTCTTGGCTGTTTTGTGCAGATATTTGTAATTGTGGTCATTATAAAGGGAACCCTTATTCACTGTACTAAAGTCATCTTACTCTCCTTTCATACCATTTCACCATTTCAATAAATGAGTGTGAACCATGAGGATTGCATGATGATTTTTCTTTTGTAGTGTTAATAACAGCACCCCTAATCAAACCTCTGATGAAGAAAGGTAAACATTAAACCACCATATCATTTTTACCTTTCAATTTAGAAAAAAAAGAGAGAAAATTTGGATGATCATATGCAATTTAATCTCTAGTCCTAACTTTACTAAACGAGAAATTAAAATAAAAAAGCTTAACCCTTTTCTTTGATCAAGAAGATGACTATTTTCCTGTCTCCCTAACAAAACCTACATTTGTTTCAACCAGGAAAAAAAAAGACCTACCTTTCTAAATCATGTCCTATCTACTAAAAATTTTCACATAAAAACGAGTCCCTTCAAAATTTGATGGCACAACCTTGTGTAAGACCAATGCTAAAAAATTGGTCATTCTTTTGGTGACAGCAAATCTTATCCCCAAAGCTATGGATGAGCTGTCCAGCCAAGCTTGATGGATCATCAGTGAACGTGTCCACAAATACTCTGACCACTCTTCGTTCTTGCATATTAGCTTTCAGACTGAACCAAGTAAGAAATTTTACTCTAAAATCTTCATCTATGTTGCCCTCATGCTCTAGCCATTTGATTGCTCTCACTGAGTAGTCGTAATCACTTTCCTCTGCTCGCTTTGTACACCTGAAACCTGGTACTTTACGCATTCCGTTGGATTTACAAGGTGTCAATGGAGAAACTGCTTTGATCAAAGAAGCAGTTTCTGTTAGAGAAGGCAGTGAGTAGAGCCTTTTGCTCTGGTTCTTGTTGATGCCATTCGAGGATTGATGCTTCGTAGTATGGTCTCCAGAAGCTAATTTGATGTCACTAGAATTGGTTGATTCTTCTTGGGAATGATTTTGAACAACTGCTATATTATCTTCCCTTCTCTGATTCTCTAACATAACAGAGCTATCATACAATGCAGGTGTGGCCCATTTAGCTTCCCAAACACCCAATACTCCTGCGTTGCTAAACAAAGAAACCTTGCAGAAATATTCAGCTGAGGGATGGAGATTGGTGAGAGTAAATTTCTTCTCTGGCCTCAAAACAATGAAAGAGGGTTGGTCTGGATAATCCTTAATATCAAACTTACGATGCCACAGCCTGCAACCCAAGAAGTTGTTAAAAAGATTATCCTCATATTCTAGCACGATGACAACGGAAGTAGGGGTTGAGTCTTCAAACCGGATGCGGCAAGCTGATACAACAGAATTATTAAGCAACATCAGCGAACAAATAATATATATGAAAAAAAAATTCAGTTTGTTTGACATCACCATACAGGACTTTATTTATTCTCCTTCCAATTAACTAACTGACTAACTAGGGTGATGATACCAGCCACCAGTTTGCATTTCCTACTGTAGTCAGAGACTCACACGTAACCCATATAAAATGAATTGTCCAGTGTTGTGTTCCATCTGGATGCTTCATATGCAAATGGGGATTTCAAATCATTGAAAACAAGAAAAAACGACTTACTTGCTCGCTCTTCCTTTTCCACATGGACAGGGCAAGGATCAGAAAACATTGAATCAAAAGATTCCACTGCAGAATTGCACAACTTCTGAACATCAGCACCACAAGAGAGCCTGTTAACAATTCCACGCGCCATCTTTGCACAGACCTGCTCCAGTGGGCCTACTTCATTCTTCAGCTTTTTAATAGCAGTTTCTAAACTGTTCTGTAGTTTCTGGTATTTCTCCTTTCCTAAAAGAATTTTGTAAGATAGAGAAATTCGTAGACACAGTACATCCACTCTTCTAGCCTCCTTTGCAATCATTAATTGTTTTCTCCAGGTTCTGCACAAAATCAATCTTCCAATTAGCCAACATTATTATTTGGTGCTAACAGCAACTCAAGTTCGGTTGGTCAGTTTGGGATTGCAACTGGTTGTACATCATTCATTCTGATAGTTGATTCCCTATAACTCTATGAAAAAACAGTACAAGTGATATATCTTGCTTATTAGATTAGGTCAAATAACCCAAATTGTCAACCTCATCTCAACCAATCATAGGCCACATTAGTATCAATAGAAAATATTTCCAGGACATAAATTTTTCCTAGGAATGTATTCTTAGTAAAATGTTCTAATTCTTTTAGTTTTCAGTTTTTGGGGATTGATACAAATTTTCTTGGAAGAGTTTGTAAAAAGAGAGAAATATTACCAATCAAAACATATATAGGTGACTTAATTAAAATGCTGTTTTCTAAACATTATCATAACCCAACATCTTAGAAAATATTTTTCAAGTTAACATTTGTGGTGCCATTTCCTATATTAAATTAAGGTCACACACGCCAGATGCTCTGATGGCTAGTACGATCTAAACTTCTTTGAAAGGGAGATTCACTAATCAGATGCTCTGATGGGTATGCATTTTAGACATCTTTGTACATGTTTATATGGCCGAGCTTGACACCTAGTAATCCTGGTTTGTTTATCTAGTGTCAGTGCACGTGTATGTGAGTAGATAGCATGCTTAAGAGATTTCTTAGTAAGTTCTAGAGACTTTGCTACTGTGCAATAACTGCTACTTATAATCATAGAAGCAAAATATGTAGCTTTCGCAGTACACATACTTGGGTGTTTGCATGTGTGCAAAGACACACAACCGCAACACCTGCAGATGTCTATATAATTCATGAATAGGCAATTGGTTTTTTCTAGGTTGGGTCTGAACTGACCAGGTTGTACACAACTAGTACCATACCATACATCGGGTATGCAGTTAAAGAGTAAGTAATTGAGATTTAAATATTCACAGGTGTTTATAAAATATTAGTTACCTCATTAAATCATTAACCTTTCCACAAGCAATGCAATAGAAGCTTCCATCCAACTCTGGGCAGCAACCATTCTTCATAATGCCAGCTTTTTCATGCTTTAGAGCACACTCCAGATGGCATGAAATTCCACAAGGACCATTCTCATCAGCAGTATCAGAGCCACAGGTCAACCATAGACTAGGGTCCTTGTTATCATCGAAAAGATGACAGATACAGCAAGAACATCTCTTGCAAAAAGACTCCTCTGACCCTAAGGCAGCTCTGCAAGCTACATTCTGACAGACTTGGAATTTAGGGTGTCCTTCTTGACTAGTCACAGGAGAAACATGACCTGGGCCAGTGAGTGGTTGAAAGGAAGCTTCTACGTCCCTTTTCCTTTTCTTTCCCGTTTGATTTTTGGCAAGAGAAAATGCAGGAGAGCTTTTAGTAGTAGTCTTAGATTTCTCAGATACTACCTTTAAAAGCTGTGCTATCATTTTAGGTTTTGTATATCCTCTGTACTTCCTCTCCTTACCCATTTCGGCACAGATAATTTCAAGAAGCTCCTTACGAGTAAACGAACTAAGGATTCCTGGGGCATCTTTTGACCATTGGGCAATCTCATGAACTAGTTCTCTCTTCTCTCCCAAGCTTAGCCTGCTACACTTTTCAGGGTCAAGTACAAAACCTGAGGAAACAAAACCAAACCAAATATCAAAACTGAACTTCAGATGCCTTATAAGCTATGAAGTTGAACATAATCACAGGAAACTAGCAGATACTTATAAAGGACACTTTACAATTCATCTTCATAGTTTATCCTGGGTAATCATATAAAGTCGTAAGAATGAGACCAAAAAAGAACATTTATGCCCTGACAAAGTACCATGAGAGTAAGGTCACAACTAAACCTACGGCAGAATAACTCATTAAAACATCTCTTCGGTTTGTTGTTTCTCTCTTTTGCTAGTTAATTTTCTATTTTTTAAGGGACACCAACAGGCTTGAACCTGAAATGGACCCTTGAATTTTGGTAGACTTTGTCACCATGTTGTCTCCATAAGGACTGATTCCTTTTGGTACAAAGGAAAGCAAAGGGAAGGGTGAGGTTTGAACTACAAACACCAAGGAAACACATTGTTTCTTCATAGCAAAGAAGTAACTCTCAAAACACAACTGTTCTTTACGTCATCTAATGCCTAATATCTCATATATAACGCACTGCCATTTTTTATTACCAAAACCTTGTAAACACACACACCATTAAGCTTTTTATTTTATAAAAATTTCAATTGAAAAAAAGGAACTTATAAAACAGATTTACCATACCACCAATGAGTTATTATTCTCCCTATAGGCAATGCTTTTTTTTTTTTTTTTTTTAAATTAAAAAAAAGGAACTTAAAAAGGAGAAAACAAAGTTCTGTAAACTACTCGTCTCTTGAAGGGTTAAGTTAACGGTTCCAATAGGCAATGCTGGTCGTTGTCATCAGTCAATCTAAACAGTGTCCCCCTATATGCTTTCTAGGAGGGACCAACAGCCAAGTGTGGTTTAAAAAAAACAAAACAAAACAAAACCCCCAGAAAAAGAAAAAGCCTTTTAATCATCCGCAAAATACTTCTTGCATTTTGGCAAATCCATAATTATGCAAAAAATTAGACCTTGGACAACGTACATTGGGAATAACAGCAAGAAAGATGTTCTGAAATAAGGGGAAAAATCAAAATACAAAAAAAGGGCAAACTCAGATGCAAAATACTTTTGTGGTGACATACATTGTCAAGAACAATAATCATAAAGTAAACAAAACACCACAATCCATTGCAAACGAGTAAACCCACAAAATTTTTATTAGGAAAAAAAAGAGAGCATGAAAAAAAAGGGAATGGTGACTGACCTGAGAACAGAGACTGCATGTCTGAAGCCCTCGCTTCTGGGTTGTTCATTGTTTTCCAAAGAGGAGGCAA